ACTTGGCACCGAAGTGCAGAAGTTCGAGTTGCCACGTTCCAAATAGCACACAAAGGTAGACAACAAAATGAGTGAAGAGAATCAGTAGAGTTTTGACAAGTATAAGAGTGAAACAGAATGAGTAATGGTAGAAAGGAATATGAAAGATTACAGAGACTGAATACATCTGCATAAGCCATCGACAACGATGAGTTTGAGCCATGTCACCTGTTGTCTCCAGCCATTGGTTCTTAGAGTCCCGAGGATGGGCCCCACCCTGGAAGTCTGCATCTCCCTCACTACCTGACTCAGTTTAACTGTCAGGGATTTCATGGATTGATGCCATGTTTTTGTTTGACCACCACTTACTCTTTTCCAACCTGCACCTATATCAGCTAGTAATGCCCGTCCTTTGGGGGAGGCGATGGTTAGGCATGCGCAGCACATGACCTAGCCATCTCAATCTATGTAACTTTATAGCCTCGTCGATTGATTTTCCCTCTTTGCCCAACACTCTACGCCTAACGTCAACATTACTTACCACCTTATTATACCACCTCCTAAAGTGAGAAAGAGATCATAGACATCTATGATCAAAAACAGTCAACCTTTTCATGTCTTCAACTCGTATTGGCCATGTTTCAGAGCCATAGAGGACAGCGGAGCGAAGTGCTGAGCAGTACATACGTCCCTTGGTGGATAGCCGAATGTCACCCCAATGCTAGAGATGGCGTAAGTTAGCGAAAGCAGCCCGAGCTTTTTGGATCCGTGCTGAGATTTCGTCGCCAATCAATCCGTTGGTGCTGATACAACTTCCCAAATAAGTGAAGTGGTCAACATGTTCTATCACTTCACTCCCTATCACTAAGCTAGGAGTTGACGTAGTCCAGTCCTGTAGCAGCATCTTACATTTTACAGGGGTGAATCGCATGCCAAACATACGAAGATTGCTGCTCAAGGTGTTCAGAAGACTCTGCATTTTGTCAGCATCCTCCCCTAACAGGACTATGTCATCTGCATATTCTGCATATTCCCTGGTAACAAGTCGATTCGTAAGTCGTTAAGTTCAGTTAAGGATACTTCCATTAGCATATCTATGATGAAGTTAAACAGAAATGAGGAAAGTGGACATCCCTGACGGACACCACTGGTTGTTATCAATTCAGGTGACAATTCTCCATAAGCCCCTAAGATCTATCGGAGAGTAGTAGTAATTCTCGTTTTATGGACTGGGGTTGTTAGCCATCTACTCAACCTTCCCAGTTTTCCTGGTTTATTGACGGCTGGACAAGGGGATTAAGGAGGGCATCAGCCGAGAATCCAACTTGGATATTCTACGTAGGGCTACCAAGCATTCTACCGCTGACATACAAATACCTTTAAATTACAACTCTGAGAATATGTCCACAGGACATCTACCTCGAGTTTTCAAATAGCAATATTACTAATATTGGTGACAAGTAACGCGCCAAACTAAATGTAAATTTATACACTTGCAGTTTACAATCAACATATGCAGAAACGAATCACACTATACAAACACGAATAGAAAGGAGTTAAATCAATCTAACTAACTTATTTCTCACAAATTACGGGGTTAGCGGGAATTTGGATTAATTTCATTTGATCTTACGCGTTTATTACGGATTGATATCAGTTAGAGAACCATTGAAAACCAGCTACGAGTACTGAATAGGGAGCTGTTTCATTCTAGTTCGGGAATTATCGGCAGTACGCACCCACGCCGTGGGTTTCGAACCCAGGACCTTCTGGTTACAAGGTGAGCTCGTATACCTGGGTTCGAACCACACGGTGCGGGTGCGCACTGCCGATGATTCCCAAAACTAGGATGAAACAGCTCTTCAGTACTCCCAGCTGGTTTTCAATGGTTCTCTAAATGATATCAACCCGTGATCAACTCGTAGAAACAAAACTAATCCCTACAAACCAACTATAGAAAATTAATTTGATCTGTTTGATTTTGTCACAGACCAATATCCCAATTAGAGAGACCATTGAGAACCGGTAGAGAGCAGTCAACAGCTGTTTCGTCCCAGCTTGAGATTTTTCAAATCCAAATCTCCACAAATAGCATAATTACGAGGAAATTAAGAAAATCAGTTCAAAGAACTTTTAATGCTGGCGAACTAGACGTATTATTCTCTACACAACCGATGGTGCTACCTCGACTGAAAGATGAAGTACCTAGACTAGCCACTTCAAATTGTATCGATCAATTCAACTGCGTTTGTGGAGCCAGTTAGATCGGTTGTTCCTCTAGGAACTTCAATTTTCGTTCTTGCTCAAGAACATCTACCAGTATGGCTAAGTAAAGGTGTAGTGAAAACCATTAACAGTTCAATATTGGACCATCTGATGCCTACTGGTCACAAAGCCAGCGTAGAAGAATCCTTCTCTATAATATACCGGGTGCCTAACAAATTACCAAAATCATCGAAGCACCGCATGCTCCAAACAGCAGAGGCTATTGCAATTCGCCTCAAACAACCAGTGCTTTGTGTTCAAAAGAAACAAGTCCAGCCCCTACTAATGCCCTGGCCCTCAGTAGAAACTATAAACTCATGAATTCGTACTATTATCTTTCATAATTCTTCTGACATTCAGCTTATTTTATGTTGATGCTATTGAGCCGTAATTTATCAATATTATTGATTCGATGTTATTTAAACAACATTAATGTTGTTCATAACACCAATTCATTCATTCACTATAATTTATATATAACTGTAGAGCCTGATGATGAAGTTATCGAAGAGAGTACTCGTTGTTCAGTATCCATTCTTTTGAATAATTTAAATATCTAATTTCCAGGTCATTAATGCCTACTAGATGGATGTCCACTGGGAACTTGTGACCATTGGTGTCTACCGTGTATCACAGTGAAGTGGATGCTTGCAGAAAGCATTGGTGAAGGTAGTTGACAAAGTTAGAATTAGAAAAGAAAAGGCGTCCAGTGAAGTGTTACTCTTACGTTCGGCGATATCATTCTCAAGCTGTACAATCGCATACAGTAAATTATCTTAGCAACAAAAGGAATATTTCCAAAGACTTATCATTAGAATTGTAAATTTGTAATACCAAATTACGTAATTTGTGAGTTGATCACGGATTGACATCAGTTAGAGAACCACTGAAAACCACCACTGAAGTACTGGACAGTGAGCTGTCCCATCCTAGTTTGGAAATCATCAGTAGTATGCACACAATACATGGGGTTCGAACCCAAGACCTTCCGGTTACAAGGCAAGCTAGCTCGTGTACCATTCAGCCACTAGGACCCTATTCACTGGCTAGCCCATGAATTCTAACTTCTGCCAATTCGTGATTTAGCGTGACCCCGACCAATACCGTCGGTGGGACATCCATCATCACACGTGACTGGATGGACCTCACTGGTCACGACTTGTCATTAGAACTCCGGGAAACTCCATCCTGTAGCCAGTCATTAGCGAGCATCAGATTAATTTTGTATAGTTTGTTTGTAAGGGTTAGATTTGTTTTTACTAATGATCAACACGTAAAAACAAAACTAACCCTTACAAACCAACTATAGAAAATTACGTAATCCAGAAAGTGTTAATCGGGTAGTAACTAAAATATGTGTCGGCCGTACCCCGCATTTGCTACCCAATTATATTATCGAACACTTAACCAATCGTGTGGTTTTATAAAGGAGAAAATAGTTCCCCCCCACCCCAAGGCTCTATTCTGGAACACCCGATCGAAATCGGGACACCAAGTAAACCCATAAATGAACTTCAAAGTCATGTAGAGAATACGTGGGAATCTTGCTAAAACAGTACGAATCAAACTTCTTCGAACCACCGAAGCACTGGCGGTTCACGTATTAAAACCTGAACTTTTGCATACAAAAGGAAGTTTGTTCAGTCCGTAAATCTACAATGGACCTGATCTATCCATCTATCTTAACACTAAATACGTAATTTTTTCCTCTTTTCCTTAGTTGTTTGCCTCTTAAATGTATGATATTTACCTCCCCCACCCCTTATTACCACTGTCGTTAACCTGACTTTTGTTCAATTTTAATTTTAAATGACGTCTACGCAACCCCATCAATTAGATTACGTCATCCAACTCGCTTATTTAACTTTATTTTAGTTTGCGACCCATTAACGCTTTCTACATCACGTATTTTGTTATCTAAAATTTAGAATTCCAATGATAAATCTTTGAAAATATTAATTAAGACAATTTACTGTACATATATATATATATATATATATATATATATATATATGCGATTGTACAGCTTGATAATGATATCATCAAAAAGAGTAACTCTTCAATTTTTTTTATATTTCACGTTCCCCAGTGGAACATAGGGCTTCAAGCTAGTGGCTTGAAGTTTCTGTAGCAGTGTTTATTTTACAGGAAGGGGTTGCTAGCCTCATGCCCAACCTTTCCTCATCCCCAGCATTATGTCTGGCTTGACGAGGTAACGGAGTGCGTCGACCGGACCATGTGTATGGTCGACGAGTGTCCTAACCGCTATGCCACCGACATCAGGTAACTCTTCACTAAACGCCTTTTATATGACTCAATGGGAATTTTTAAAATTAGAATTCGCAGATTCTTCACTGAATTCGGATCCAAGTGGCTGAATATTAGTTAGTGAGCTTGATCTCGTAATCTGTAGGAGGTCCCGTATTTAACCCCTGGTTGGGCGCCGCCATGAGCGTGCACGACTGAAGAGTTCCAAGCTAGGACGAAACACCTGGTTTTCAATAATCTCTCTAACTGATGAGTTGGTTCAAGACGAAATGTAACAAATGAAATGAAATTAATTAATCAATTGATTAATTCACTTCTACAGCTAGATAACAAACTACATTCACATTACTAAGGAAAGCCAAAATCACCCAATAATAATAATAATACTGGTAAGCGGGCTAAACTAAACTACTTTTCGAAAAATGCGCGGAAAATAAGAGAAGATAAAGACACCTCTATATGAACACACTTTATTTTTCTTTAAATTTAGCAAACATATACAGCGTAGTTGTCATTACAATTGTTTTAAAGGAAGAAACCTATCAGTAGCAATATATGCATATTATCGTAAGTTATAAGGCACAGTTCACAACTTTTTTCTGACTGAACTGAATTTAAAAATACCGCCGAAAAAATTAAACAAAGCAATTGGACAATTAAAACACATCACATCGAGAGAGACAGACAGAGGGAAATTTCATTGGTCAACAGTATTAAACTATCGATTGTACATCACATTCAATTCATTTATTTATTTATTTGTTTTCATACATCAACTTAAACATCATGTGAGTGTGTCTATGTGTGCGTACGACAAAATTGTAAAAGTTGATCACATAATAAAGATGAACGATGACAAGATCTGGCTTTGATTAATGCTTTATTAACTAATTCTGAGGCGAATTGATTCACTCGAAGGATAACACGTGAGACAGCAGCACGAATTTGTGAATTAGGATCATCCAAGTGAATAATAACATTAGTTAAGAAATCTTCAATGACAGCAGTATACACTGGATTCAACTGGAGATGTTGTTGTACAGAGGTATCCGCATGATTTGTTCCTGTTGTTGTTGGGGTGGTGGTTGAGGTTAACATTGGCATAATTAAACGTATCCATGCATTGATTGTTTCACATATAAGTAAACGAATCTGTTTCATAGAGAGAGAAAAATATAGAATATTTCAATTGCTCAACAAAAGTACACACACACACGTACAAAAAAATCACTGAACTAGATTGAGGATTTTTAATTAAAAATGGAATAAGGAGATCTCATCCAACAGTTGTACGACAATGCTGCATGCCAAGTAATCCACATCGGGGAACTCACGGAACCCTTCAAAGAAGTGAAGACGGGAGTAAGACAAGGCTAGCTGGCTGCCTACTATCTCCAGTGGTTTTCCTGATTGATGGCGGTAGACTGGATGAGGCAACAGACAGAGGGCAATGCAACGAGTAAACAGGCATAAAATGGATCCATACAAAAAACTTGGAGGATCTGGACTTCGCCAACGACACGTATGTCTGATTTCCCACAAACTGGAAGATATGTAGTTGATGAAAAGTTGGAGAGAGAAGAAGCATCAAAGATAGCAATTCAGGTGCACATAGAGAAGATGGAGGTGGGTGATGAAGATTCTTGACCAACAGCAACAGCAACAACAATAGACAACAATCAGCTAGCGTACATGGGAAGTCATGTCAAGTACCTTGAACTGAGTATTTCCTCCGATCTTTCCTGGTCCTCTCACATCTTGCTAGTGACTAGAAAGATGTTTCGCTTAACGTTCTACGTTAGGAAGTTAAGGCAGTCTGGTATAAAGCAGTCTTTGCTTTCTCAGTTTGTCAATTCCTGTATTCTACCCATCCCTCTTTACTGCTCCCCATTAATCTTCCCTGGACTACTTAAGAGAGATTTTGCTTTGCAGCGTAGGGCACTAAAAGCTGTTAGTAGGGGAAGTGGGATTTCGTTAAACCAACTGGTTAACACTATTGTGGATAGACATATAATGTCATGTAAGAAACTAGCGAATTCTATATTATCAGACCCCGAACACCCTCTCTATACGCACCTCTCTCCTTGCATTTCATCTGGTAGAACTAGAAGCAACTATAGGAGGCTATATGCTAGGACTACCAAGTATAAAAACTCCACAATACCTTATCTGGCACAGCTGTTATGTGATGAGAAAACTGTTAGGCATGACACGATCACCTTACTGTGGCACTCTAACAAATAGTACCCATTAGCTTTTGTTCTCCTTTTCTTGTTACTATTATATTGTTGCTCATATATTCTATTACACACTAATTTTATATTTCATATCCTGTGATGTTTAAATACGTGAATGCAATGCTGTTCTTTTTTATTTCTTTTATTTCTCTTTTTTTCTTTTTGTTGTTGCTTTATATTTTTAAATCCTCATAAAATTTATGAGATAATTAGATGCAATATTGTAATGCACGCTGAAAATTCCATACCTGTACCACAAATACTGTTTGGAATAAAGCCATTATTATTATTAAAAATATGAAAGAAGCAACCTCCTTCACCTACCGACCTATCTATCTATCGTTTCAACTACAGGTCGATGGAACTGGTGAGGATATGAAACCGAGGATGGGGAAAGCAAGGCAAGCTTTCATTACTCTCAAGTCTGTGTGGAGGTCAACACTGAGCAGTCAGCATGAAAAAAGATCCGGATTTTCAACTTCAATGTGAAGTCAGTGCCACTTACTATAGGGATCAGAGATTTGGCGCCGCATCACGGAGGGCACTTAGAACGAACTACACACCTTCATCAACACCCGCCTTCGCCCAATACTACTCAAGATCAGATGGTCGGCCAGAAGACACCAGCAACAGGGAGGGATCCCAGGGAATGAACGAACCAATCCAGCAGGAACCAATTGTGCAACAAATAAGCAGGAAGAAATGGAGGTGGATTGACTATGCTCTGAGAAAACCAGTCATCAAGTGAATGACATCACACGCCAGGCCATTGCTCGCATGAAACTCGAACGGGAAGCGGCGTGTTGGTAGTGGGTGCCAGGGTGACATGGAGGATGTGATGTGAAGAGGAGATGAAAGCATGTGGGCAGACGTGGAGCCAGGTGATGAAAACGTTGTCAGAGAACCGAAAGCAATGGAGACGCACGGCTGAAGCCCTGTTCCTCTAGGAATTAAAGGATACAATAATAATAAGGAGAATCCAAGGAAACGATGCCTGATAGCCAGATAAGCGCAGGAGTAGCGAAACAACAAGCCAAGCATCCGAGGATGGCATAGAGGAGATCGTGTGGGGAAGAGGAGATGGAAGTGTTTGTAGGGCAATGTGCTACTAGTATTCTATTTTCCACTTGAACAAATGATCATAATGATAGTAACAACAGAATAATATCAAACAGTTGGGACTTGGAATTCAACGTATGTGCAGAGCTCCGTGGTATTCAAAAGACTCTATCTAAAGTGATAATAGTTTATGAGAGAATCCACTTCACATTTATTTTTTCTAGTATCAAACACTACCCAAGAAAAAGGGGTAATTTACAAAGACTGAATCACAGTTTTGAGCAATTCTATTCTTCAGGAAAACGGTCCAAACGGTAGCGTTGGGTTGAAAATCGAAAATTGATAGAAATTAGAATTCATGGCCCTTTGGATTCTATCCCAACAGCTGAATGACTAACGAGCTCACCTCGTGACCTGAAAGTTCTAGGCTAGATCACCGATGAGATCGTGGATGTGCACTGATGCAAAGTCCGAGACTGGGACGAAGCAGTGTTATCCACTACTCCAATGCTGGTTTTCAATCATTCTCTAACTGATATCAATGTGTGATCAAACTTCAAAACTACGTTACAATACTTCATACTTTCGGATTGAACAAAATATATTATAGAAAGGGATACAAAAGAAATAAGAATGTAATCCTAAGGTTTGAGAATGTTTTAAGATAAAATAATTGGAGATAACAGTTAGAGAAACCATTGAAAATCAGCCAGGGAGTTTTGGACAGGTGTTTCATCCCAGTTTAGGATTCATCGGCAGTACGCACTCACACCACGGGGTTCGAACTCAAGACGTCTCTTCTGGCTATAAGGCAAACACATAGACCATTCAATGACCGATGAATTCTAACTTCTACTAATTTGCAATTAGAATTCATGAGTCATTCAGTCGGGTCCTAATGGCTGCCTTATAGCCGAGAGGAAGGTCCTGAGTTCGACCCCCGTGGTGTGAGTGCGTACTACCGATGAGTCTCAAACTAGGATGAAACAGCTTTCCAGTGCCCCCCGGTTTTCAGTGGTTCTCTAATTGATATCAACTCGTGGCAAAAAAGAATTAAATCCTTACAAATCAACTCTTGAAAATAGAGACAAACAGTATTGCAATAAAACTGAAGATAAAGTACTAATGAATCTGTGTCGCTGTGATTACGTCCCAAGTTCAGGTTGGTATATGAAACCTTGTTAAGTCGCCAGAATGCTTCAGATCAATAGTCAATTACTTCATGGATTGCTACTACTTCTCCGTTTGATCATCACTGCAAGTTAGTTATAACTTTTACACCGTTTATGTGGTAGCTCCATTGAATGTATTACAATATCTTAAGGACAACAGGAATCAAATGCTTGAAGACTGCACGTATTCAACTTGACTATACAGTTTTCATAACAACATCACAGTAAGACACAAAGCACTTTGCTTCGCAATATAACCAATCGTTAATGTATTATTAAACATCTCATCTGGATCGTCAATAGTACAATTCGAGAAGAACCAGTTAAGCACTTTAAATCAATCCACAGATTTCATCACTCACTAACCCAGAACAGTTGGTGAGATTTACTTCAACCACAATACTTCTTTTTATTCCTTTGCGTCCCCCCAGTGAAACATAGGGCTTCAAGCTAGAGCCTTGAAGTTTCTGTAGCAGTGGTATTTATTTTTACGGGATGTAATTGTCAGCCTTATGCCCAACCTTCCCTACCTCTTTACCAGTCTTCTTACTGGCTTGGCGAGGTAAAGGAGTGCCTCGTCGACCAGGGACCAAACCCTGAACTATCTGCCTGATCGGCGAATATTCTACCGCTGTGCTACCAACGCATTACCAAGACACTTGTAATCCACTTTGTTCAAGGATCATACTTCATAGACAAGGAGGAGAATAGCAAAGACAGGAGTACAATACGCTTATTTGTGACAGAATACAAATCAATAGTTAATCGGCACCAGAGATGAAACAAGCTTATAGATGCCGAAAAAAATCGGCGTGTTCGTTCAAGGCAATCGAATCGACTGAGTGATCTATCCACCTACTAACTTGTTATCAGGTAACAGTTTAATTCTTGAAAAGATAATCATCAGAGTTACTTCTTTCACAGTGCATATCACTCACTCAAGAAGTCCGGGTTCGACTCCCAACCGACACCAATGGTAAACCCGGAAAAAGAACGAAGAATTTGGCATGAGGCTAACAATCCTACCCCAGAAGAACGACACTATCGCTACTGAAGGCTTCGAAACTGAAAAGCCTTATGTTCTACCGACTTAAATAGGAATTATGATATTGACGCGCACCTATTTGGTAGACACCACCACTAATTCTCAACCACATCATCCTCAATAAGGTCTTAACTGGCAAACAAAAACATAAGCCCCTAATACTAATATTATTATTATCTCTTTAGATTCCGAGTCGAATACATGGCTTCAGTATTACTTCTCTAATTCATTCCGTTCTCTGCAATTCTCTTTAGCTGACTGTACAATTACCCATTGGTTTTCCTCTGCTTCTCACACGACCATCTTCTTCATGTCTTACTTGGATGCCGCACTCATCGTTTCCCACTCGACGACCTGACGTGCGTGATGTCAATCAGTGGGTCTCCTCGGCGTGTATATAAGATCGATCTCAATACTCTTCAGGGTATTTGTTGAGCAGTAGATTATTGATTATTAGATTATTGGTTCGTTGTCAGAGTTTCTTGTTGTTAATTATTTTTTCCCACAACGGAAACCTCAGCGAGGCGTTTGAAGTATATACAAGAGTAAGATGAGTCTGCCTACTATTATCTATGATACTACCAATTGTGGTGGAGTGGATTATACGGAATATCATAAGTGGGGAGCGAAAAGACAGGAATACTAAGACTCTAGAAAATCCGGACTTCGTGGACAATTCGAAGACTTACAAACTGGCAGAAGAAGCAGGCAGCAAAGACAGAACTTCAAGTGAACACAGAGAAAACGGAGGTGATAAAGATACCCATTGATCAACAGCAACAACAAGTACCAATCACTAACAATGGAAGAAATTTGAAAGAGGTTATTTTCTTCACTTATATAGCTAAGCAGCATCCTTTTAAAAAACAGGGAGTCAATATGTATGAGGAAGTCAAAATCAGAATTAAAAAAGCAAGAGAGAAATTTATCACTCTGAAATCAATTTGGAAATCTTCTGCACTCCACAGAATCAGAAACAGAATTAGGATTTTCAACGCCAATATTAAGTCAGTGAGTTCTTCACTTATTTGGAAAGTTGCATCAGCCAACGCCAATGGGTTGGTCGGTGACGAAATCTCAGCACGGATACAGACGGGTCGTTTGGTGCATGCCAACTTACGGCATCTCTGGCATAGTAGACGTGATATCCGGCTGACTGTCAACCAAAGGGCGTGTGGTGTGTACTGTTCAACAGTTCACTCTGTCCCCCTTTATGGCTGTGAGTGATATATGACCATTAAAAGTGGAAGATACGAAAAGGCTAGCTAGCTGTCTTTCATCATAGGTGTCTGCATTCTATCTCCCGTGTTACGTAGTGGTATAATAAAATGAGCAATATTGAGGTTAGGCTTCGGTCGAGTGCTAGATAAGGAAAGGAATTCGATAGACGAGGTTTTGAGGCAGCTGCATCGATTTAAATGGTTAGGACATGTGTTACGTGTGCATCTCTAGCCATCACCTTCCTCGACGATGCCCAACATAGGTTGGGTCAGGTTGAAAAAGAGCTAGTAGCGGTTAAACGAAAAAACAGCTTCATAAGTCAATGAAATCCACAACAATTGGTTTAAATCAACCCGCCAATCAAGCAGGGAGGTGTAGACTGCCTTCCTGACTGGTTGGAGTCCTCGGGACAGTAAAAACCAATGAAGGCTGTAGACAATTGGTGATATGACTCAAAATTCTCGTCCTCAACGGCTGGCACAGATGCATTCACTCTTTGTGATTTGCAATCTACAATAAAATTCTATTGTTCTTCCATATTACTACTACTACTACTCTTTACCTGACATTTCTGTTTATTATCTCTCCTTTAAATTTATCTTTATTCTCTCCTCCTGTTTTGTGTGCTAAATGGAGTGTGACAACTTGAACTGTTGCACATTTGGACAAAGTTCCACGTTGAAACCAGTCAGTCAGTCGGTCAGTTAGTGAGTTCTTTAATATGGGTGAGAAGATCGGTGACCTTGTCACAGTAAGCATTTTCAACAGGCTACCGCAGACTTCCACCAACCACCAGCTTCGTTCGCTCCACATACTGAAAGACCAGATATCCAGTAACTCTGGTAACAAACCGACCAAGAACCCACAGCTCCACAAGTATGGTAAAGAAAATGGAGTTGGATAGGAAACCGTTGGGTGACATCTCTCACCGTGCCGTCACTTGAGTGGAACTCCAATGGGAAACGATGAGTGGGGGCGTCCGAGGGTAACACATGAAGGAGATCAGAGACTATGGTCAGTCGTGGGAGCAGCTAAGGAGGAACGCAGGTGACAGGACTCGGAACTCAAGGGAATAATAATCCAGGAAAAGAGGGAAGGTTGGGCACGCGTGAGACTACCGAGTCTATGCCTCCCCCCGGAAAATCACTCCAATCGCTAGAGATACTTCAAAGCATAACAAAAATAGAAAACAAGCCTGAAACCAGTAACAATCACACACACATACACACACTAACAACAACAACAACAAAAACACAACGACAAACCATAAATTCAACAATTGTCAATAAAAAAAATTGATAACAACTCACCTTATCTTTTGGATCATTTAAACGTTTAATAAAATTTTGATAGAAACGATAAACTTGATCACCAAATGAATCAGGTAAAGGACAATACGGTATTAAATGATCCTTGCGTGCATTATCATTATCATTATAATCAGTATTCTTATTGACAGGTTGAATCCAAGTAGAAGAGTTTAAAAAGTTTGGAATGCTGCACATACGACTATGACAGTTATTATCCCTTGACTGACATAATTCTATTTCCGATGCCGGTAGTGGCGGTGGTATTAAAAGACCATTGAAAAATATAGTTAAGCAAAGACATGCCATACTTCGCGTCCCTTCTAAATCATCATCTAATAAGGAGCCTAAACGTGCCAACAATAAGGAGAGTAGTGAACTGGATAAATTCGGCAGATTACTCCTGTGTTTATGCTGCTGCTGCTGCTGTGGCTTGTCGAGATTATTATCTATCAGAAGGAAGAGTAGACCGAAAGAGACACAAAGAGTCAAAGAGAGAGATGTAGTTATAAAACAAACCAAAATTACAATGTTTACTCATATTTCAAGGCAAGTGAGTGCGTGAGTTTCAATATAGACGTGGTCCGAGGTTCGATCCCCGGCCGACACACTCTTCCTTTGCCTTGTTAAGCTAGTAATAAGACTGGTAAAAAGGGAAGGTTGGGCATGAGGCTAGCAACGCCATCTCCTAAAAATAAACACCACTACTACCGAAACTTCAAGTCTCTAGCTTAAAGCCCTATGTTCCACTGGGAACGTAAAGGAATAAAAAAAACACTCCATGTATAGCACACAAAAGTAGAGAAATAGCAGAGTCTCAAAAGAAACTATAATGAGGAGAAATGTATTCGAGATAAAAATGGAAAAGTAACATGGAAAACTATGAGGACTTGATGCGTCTGGGAGGTTACAGAGAGACCGAATGAATCTGCACCATTGAACATAATGTAGAGGCATATCCCCAACAGTCTTAAACCATTGATTGTTAGCATTGCGTGGATCCCAACTCTGTCTGTCCAGTTTCAACATAGAACTTTGCACTAATGTGCACCAGTTCGAGTCGCCACACTTCACTCAGCACACAAAGCCAGAGAAGAAAGTAAAAAAGAAACGCAAAATAGAGACAGTACACAGAGATATGAGACAAAAAGAATAGTAATATGAAAGAACAATATAGTTTCATTGGAAATTATAAGTCACAAGGAGTGGATGCATCTGCGCCATCACTGGGGACGATTTTGAGCCATATCACCAATTGTCACCAACTGTGATTGGTGTTTACTACCCCGAGGACCCCGACCAGTCTGGAGGTCTACATCTTCCTACGTGGCTTAAACTAACTGTTGTTGATTTCATTGACTGATGGAGCCATGTTTTGGTTTGACCGCCGCTAGCTCTTTTCTAGCATGACCCTATATCAGCTAACATTGCCCGTCCAGGAAGGCGATGGCTAGGTATACGTAACACATGTCCTAACCATCTCAGTCGATGTGACTTTACAACCTTGTCTATTGATTTCCCCTCTTTACCTAGCATTCGACCTTAGCCTAACGTCAATATTGCTCACCGTATTATACCACTTTACACGAGAGATAGAACGCACGCACCTATGATCAAAGACAGCTAGCTAACCTTTTCATATCTTCCACTCTCAATGACTACGTCTCACGGCCATAAAGAAGGACGGGGCGGACTGTTGAGCAGTACACACGTCCTTTGGTCGACAGCCTGCCGGATATCACGTCTACGCCAGAGACTGGCGAAACTAGCTTTCTATATCCGTGCTGAGATTTCATCGGCAATCAACCCGCTGGCGTTGGCTGTTGCAGCTTCCCAAATAAGTGAAGTAGCCAACACGCTCCACTGTTTTTCATCATAGATGTCTACGATCTCTTTCTCACGTTAGGAGGTGGTATAATAAGGTAAGCAATGTTAACGTTAGGCGTAGTGTTGGGCAAAGAGGGAAAATCAATCGACAAAGCTATAAAGTTACATAGATTGAGATGGCTAGGTCACGTGCTGCGCATGCCCAGCCATCGCCTCCCCCGACGGACGGGCATTACCAGCTGATATAGGTGCAGGTTGGAAAAGAGTAAGTGGTGGCCAAACAAAAACATGGCCTCATCAATCCATGAAATCCTTGACAGTTAAACTGAGTCAGGTAGGGGGATTCAGACTTCCGGGTTGGGGCCCGCCCTCGAGACTCCAAGAATCAATGGCTGGAGACAATAGGTGACATGGCTCAAAATCGTTGTCAATGGCTTACGCAGATGTATTCAGTCTCTGTAATCCTTCATATTCCTTTCTACCATTACTCATTCTGTTTGACTCTTATACTTGTCAAAACTCTATTGACTCTCTTCACTCATTTTCTTGTCTACCTTTGTGTGCTATTTGGAACGTGGCAACTCGAAGTGTTGCACTTCGGTGCCAAGTTCTATGTTGAATCCAGACAGACAGACAGGAGACAGGTCACAGGAAATCATGGGCACCCAGCTGCTGACGCTGTTTCACCAATAATTGTAAGTGTAGGATTTGGGCAGTGTGGTGGTAGAATGTAATTCCATATTAGATAAGTTTAGTTTAAGTATCACACACACAGTGATGACGCAGTATTAACAACTGGATGACGTTCTGAGAATAAATTATTGCTGCTGATAATTATATCAATTTAGTAACACGGTTTCATGAATGGCTTCATTATGTGTATTTCTCTCCCTCTCTCTCGTCCCCTTGATGTTTGTTGCCACTTTCCATATCTCCGGTATAGGGGTTGCACCATTCCGATTGCTGCACGTGTGCGGTGTTGAATCGATAAACAAAGCTTTAGTGGTCAACCTCTCCATCCACATAAATATATTATCCTCCTGTCTAACTATATTACTTTATATATATTACTTTATTTCAGTTTCCGATGCAAACGAAAGTTAAATGAAGCCGTTGGTTCCTATGACCCTTGCAAAATCGATGATACTGATATAGAAACCAAGTCTGAAGTTAAGTATCTTGGATTAATTCTCTCTTCTGACCTATCCTGGTCCTCTTATGTCTTAGCGATTTCTAAAAGAATATTTCATTTGACTTTTTACATTAAGAAGTTAAGGCCCTCAGGCATAACTCAACCACTCCTCTTACAGTTTATCAACTCGTGTATTTTACCTACTCTTCTTTACTGTTCACCCTTATTCTTTCCTGGATTGCTTAAAAAGGACTATGTCATACTTCGTAGAACTATGAAGACTGTCAGTAGGACGAGTGGTATCCCATTGGGCCATATCGTTGACATTGTCACTGATAGGCATTTGATGTCATGCAACAATTTCGCTAAAGCAATTTTGTCAGACTCTGAGCACCTACACTACCCGCAGCTCCAACCTTGTCTCCTCAGGTAAAACAAGAAGTCTTTTCAGAAGAATTTATGCACGTACGTCTAAGTATAAAAATACCACTATACCATATTTGGCAAGTACTTTATGTGATGGAAGTAGTGTTAGGCATGAACTAACTAACCTTCTTTGCACTACTAAATAAACTATTTCCTTTACCCTTAAATCATCAAACTTTATTGTTATTGTATTTCTGATACTTATAATCCTCTCAATTTTTTCGTTTTGTTTATTTTATTTTTCATAAGTGTGGACATAATTTTAAGTTGTATTATAACTGTTAATTTTGTATTTCCCCTTACTATACTATATCAACAGAACATTAGACCCAATAATCTATAAAATGCTAGTTTCCAAACTGAATCGACAGTACCGCTTGAAACAAACTCACTGTTATTATTATTATTATACCGACTAATTATGTCGTAAATGTGGACAAATTCCTCCGATTAATTCTGTTTTATTTTTTAATTTTATATATATTTTGAGTAAATCAGATGCAATATTGTGACAAATGCTGAGAATTCCATTCTGTATTATAAGTACTGTTTTTGGAATAAAGTAAATTATTATTATTATGATTAAATAACACTCTCACCCTATCCCACCCACCCTATCGTTGTGTGATTACATGCAAGTGAATCCAGTGGAATGGCTGAGCTCTGATTTTTCTAGGTGATTTAACTTGGTAGGCTCAATTATTCTAGGTCTAGCTAAGTTCTTATGTTCCAATAATCTAATTGGTCCTGATTTACTAGTTTGACGGCTTATGTAATTAACCTCACTGACTATCATTACATGGTATATGGTAAATTATATTATTTTTCTTAATTGGATCTTTTGGGTTCCACCAACTTGTGGACCAAAATGGTGGCTCCCTTAGGAGGCGGCAACCACCTGGGCATCTGAACAGTATCCCAGTCAAAGCACAAAATATGAGATTTTGTTGGACGCATATCCTGGCGCCTATAATGTACACTAAGTCTATGTGTTCAAATAAATATAAAGTAGTATAATGGGGAGGGGTGAGAAGGGGATGAGAGGAATTCATCAACAGTAACAAACACATTAACGCTTACCATCATCATCATCACAGTTATTCTTTGATATATCACCGTTATTTGTTACTTCTTTGATTACATCATTAAAAGATTCACTTGTATTCTCACAAAGCCATTTATCTATTTCTACTTCATTGCTAGTTCTTGTATTGATAACAATTTCGCTTAAATCATTGATTGAGACTGCGCTGGCTAATATAGCTAACAAACTTGTTACAGCTGCTTTACGCATTGCCTCCGATGTACGACCAGCTCTCCAAATGCATACAGGTAGGATTAATTTTGATAGACAATAATTTAAATATTTTGGTGAGGCTAATGCAGTCTAAAATAAATAAGAAAAAAGAAGGATTTCATACATTTATTCCCCTTAATGAATTTGAACAAAGCAAGAACTACAGTTTTAGCAGAATACAGTGGTACAATCATTGCTTATTTCTTTGCCTTCTCGTCAGCTGCTTACAGGGCAAAAACATTATTAAATGTATCTACAATAACAATTTAACATACTTACACAGAGTTCATTTTAAACAGAAATCAATCGATCAATATACGCAAAGGTAAAACAAATCACAGTAAGAAAAAAGCCAATCTACTTTCAGCTTGATTATAAAGGTGAAAACATTGCAGCGATGATCAACAGAAGGCTGAGCACATCACTAGACATAGCCTATCCTGCAGCTAAGCTCGTTCCCGTCTATCGAACAACTTGCTCTCCTTGGTGCAATCAAAATCGATAGATATCCTTCTCATGTTAACTCCAACTGTGTACACAAATTTACATGTATCTGCGGGAACAGTTACATTGGAAGGACAGAAAGAAGGGCATATATACGATTTTCTGAACATGCACCAAAAAGCTTACGTCTAAAGTAAACAAATGCTTTAAACAGTGACATCGCCAGGCATCTCCTCGACACGGGTCACCAGGTGGACGTCGAAAAGTCGTTCAAAATTATCAATAAGCAAAAGAGCTCAATTCTCCTTAAGTTTGCTGAAGCCATTTCCATCAAGCGCCTGAAATCTGATTTATGCGTTCAGAAAGAAGCGGTTATCAGTCTTTCTTTGCCCTGGTAACTGGATACTTTTTCATCTGAATGTGAAATGCTGAAAGGTTTCCATTGTGTATGATTATTATTGTTCGGAATTGTGTTTAATATTGCATATATATCTGTATATATTATTAGTGTATGCATATATTGATCGACTCATTTTTGTTGAAAGTGAACTCCGTGTGCAAGTAAGTTAAAATTGTTTTTTTGTAGATACATTTAATAATGTCTTTGCCCTGTAAGCAGCTGACGAGAAGGCAACGGAATAAAAGAGGTAACATTTTATTCTGCTAAAACTGTAGTTCTTGCTTTGTTCAAAAAGAAGGATTATGCATACGTCTTATGTCTCAAAGAAACGCGTAGTTGGTCGATCACTTGAATATACAAATGAAAACCAAAAAAATGGCAAAAGTGGCAGTGAAAACAGAACTTTGGGTGAATACAGTAAGGATGGAGGTGATGAAGATAACCGACAAACCAATAACAAAAACAATAATAAGCACCAATCACCATCAGTGGGAGAAATCTAAATCTAAAGATACCGGGTCTCTTCCGCTTATTTCGATGAAAGCCTTTCAACTACAGACGGCACGAATGAGGATGTCAAAGCCAGCCAGGATTAAGAATATTATTCTATTTTTTATTATTCCCTTCAGTTCTGAGTGGAACATAGGGCATTAACAATACATCTATACTTTGTTCTATTTTCCGATGTCCTCTTCAGCTGGCTAGCTCCATGGTTGCCCATAATCTCTTATCTCCTCCTCCAAATTATACGATCTCCTCAATGTCACCCTCGCACGGACAACCCACTTGTCGTTTCCCATTGGGATTCCATTTGGGGAAATCGTCTGGATAGCGTTCGATGTCATTCAACGGTCTCCGCAGTCGTGTATACCCGATCCATCTCCACTTTTTCTTACATATTTGTTGAGCAATCGGTTCTTGGTTGGTTTTTTGCCAATCTTTTATGGTCATTTGATCTTCAGTATAGAGCGAACGTAGCTGTTGCATAATTGTAACCTTCCTTCCTTTTGAGTTGGATGAAAATGGTTCACACTACATCAGGGTTTTGGCTGCCACTGGTGACATTATGACAGCCACTCACTACTTCAGTGTACTCGTGGTTGTCGTCTGGAAGACCGGAGTAGATTGCTGACTCACCATTTAACCATTTCGACATTCCACATTTATTTTATCTCCTCTCGCAGATTCCCAGCACTTCTACATCATATCTTCTCATTTCTTTGGTTACCTGGGCAATCTTCCCAGCCAGCTTCGTACATTGTACAAACATTCCACGTCCTCATTCTTATTCTTGCTTTCATCGACAAAAGACACATCGGCTGGTTGACTGGCTTCCCGAAGGTTGGTTTTCACCATTCCGCTGTGTCATTTCGCCTCTACGATTCCAGAGAAGAATGAGTATTGTTTGTATTTTTAATATTTCTATTGTGCTTTTAAGTTTCTATAGCAGTTTGATTGGTTTTCTGGGGTAGGGTCGCTAGCCCAAATCTCCCTCTTTACCCAAGCTTGGGATTGGCTAGAAAACTAGGAAGGTTGAAATTAAGAATGCAAGACGGCTACCCATTACTATTGAATCAGTGTAGTAGAGATCTGCACCAGTCAACACAAGGAACAAGATCAGGCAGGAGGGCTCCAGTTCATTAGTTTAGGCGCTCGACCTCCAGTCGGAGGGTCACGAGTTCAAACCTCGCTTTATCTACCGAGGTTTCGGTTGTCAAGTAGTATCATTAGCTCACATACACAATAAATATGGCTTACTGTCAACTGTATGGAATTGCAATTGGTTTGTTGAGTGACATTCCTTCCTTTCACGTCAGTCACCACTTCTATATAGTTTAGAGACTTGACTCATGCATCCTCAAAATTATTTCCAACAAACTACTGCATGCACACTTCTGTCAACACCTTCCTCTGCTCCATAGTGATGATCAGATTACTAACTGGAAAGAGTAAGCAAGTGAACCAGCCAAGAAGGAAATGACTGAGGATGGGACAAACACTAAATACCAGGTCGTCAAGTAGAAGCTGAATAAATGCGTTGATCTAGGCGTCTGAAGGTGAAGAGGAAATGAAAGCTTGTAGACAGTCGTGGAGCTAGATGTAAACGACGACAGAAAGTCGGCTAGAATAGAAATTTGCATCTGAATCCCTATATCCCCCTCGGAACGCAAAGACTATGTTATAATAATAATAACAATATACCACAAAATATGCATTCAAAGTGACAATTCATAAAGGTCTATTCGACATTTTCTCCTAATTCTTTTCATATAACCTATACTGACCTGTTGCTACAATTTTCTTTGCTTTCAAATTTACGCTACTTATTACTCTGATAAGTAGTGTAAGACTGCATTTTGTTACGTTGTAGCCCAATTGATGCATTCTGTGGATGCTTTTGACGGCAATTAGCCCAGACACTTCACGATTTGACTAGTGTACTTTAGACAAATATTGAGTTCCGGATTTTATGCGTAACTCAATCGTGATTCTTTTCACAGGATTACTAGTGCATAAGCAAAGTTTAGAAGTGTGCGTCTGTTGGCTGGGGATCGAACCCAGGACTAATTGCAGAGTGGTTGGAGAGCATTCTCTATCACACTGAACTAGTGACAGACACACCTACACTATCTATTATACACTGAGGTCGATTAGCAAGCAAGCATAAACAATATAAAACGATAAGATTAGAATATCACGTAATAATAACAACAGTACCGACTATACACTTACTCGAACAGAACTATTCTCTGTCAATTTTGTAAGTACAATTAAACCACGTAGACGGATTTCAGCTTCAGCAGCCAGTGTTAATGGATCTGTACCACCTGGTGATTTATCACCACCAGGTGCACAATCCAATCGACAACCACGTTGTAGCAGATCTAATACATGAGTTAAACATTCTTCACCAGTGTTTTCTGTTCTATTCTGTTGAACAGGAGTTGATTTAATTAAAAGTGCAGGACCAGCTAACTGTAAACAACGTGAAAGTATTGCTAAACCAGTTGAACGTGGATGCCATGACATAGATTTCTTCAAGTCTTCGTTTAATCGATCTATCAACTAATGAATTTTAAAAGAGCAAAAAACAAAATGATAATAATAATGTTAAGAAAAACAGATTGAGTTAAGAAACGTATATTCCTTTTCAATTAGTTCCTCATCATCGGCTTTCTCTGCATCAATATATACATATAGTCTTTACATCAAAATTCTACCAATCAAGTGGTTATTTTATTTAATCAGTTTTAGGTAAAGGTGTGGGGGGGGATTAAATTAAGAGGTTAAAGGTCATCAAACCTAATTCCACTGGACAATATACTAACTTCCTGAGCTTCATACCTCTACAATACAAACGTACTCTGGTCAGATTTCTGGTTCATCGAGCTGGAATTCTCTGTTCAAATGAAACAGTGAACGAAGAACTCGGTAATATTCGTGGTCTTCTAAGCAGAAACAGATATCCAACTAAATTCGTGAACAAACACATGAACTCAGAAAGTGAAAAGTCGAAGGTGACCAATATTCCCAGAATATAAGTCTTCCTAAGATTACAGTTTCCGGGTGATGTTAATAGTGAGATCTTATCACAACGTCTGAGAAGGGCCTTCAAAAGGACTTTCCGTGCAGCTAAGCTATGCTGTGTATTCATTCACTAGCCAACTAATAATCAGTTCAAGAAATAAAGACAGACTGCCCTGTTTCACCTCTCCCATGTGTATTTACCAGTTTAACTGTCCGTGTGGAGCTATTCGTATAGGGCGTAGGATCAGACAAGTCCATAGTCGAATTTCTGAACACCCCCCATCTTGGTTTGGCAAAGGTCCGAATAAAGCTGCCATACGCAACTCAATACTAGCTCGTCTCGTGGATACTGGCTGGATATCAAGTCGACTCTAACAAAGCTTTTAAAGTTATTTATCGTATATCACCCAACCTCTCGTCGCATGGTCTACCAGTAGAACTTTTATGTACATACAGCAGAGGCAGTCTGAATACACCTGAACAAGCTAAATCTGTGTGTTCAAAAGGAATTTGTACAGCCCTCTTTCTTTACCATGGCCAACTACAATATATGTATTAAGTTTTTAAAAACGATTTTTTCCCCTTCCTTTGTAACTATCTTTTGACTTTGTTAGGTTGTTCTTCTAAGTCATCCTATTCTTCTTAGTCATCAGTACTATTTTACAAATTTCTTGATTATGTAACAACGTGTTGTTAACGCTTAAGAATAAGCTTATCTTGAATTCCATAATTAACTTTCACGCCTCCTTTAAAACTTAGATACCTCTGTTACTAACATCCCTTAGTTAATTGATATTTTGATAACTTTTAACCTCTTAACTTGCGTCGGTGGCATAGCGGTTAGGACGCTCACCGACCATGCACATGGTCCGGAGTTCAATCCCCGGCCAACGCACTCCTTTACCTCGCTAAGCCAGAACTACAACTGATGAAGAGGAAAGGTTGGGCATGGGGCTAGCAACCCAATCCTGTAAAAATAAACACTGCTAAAGAAACTTCAAGACACCAGCTTGAAGCCCTATGTTACACTGGGAACGTGAAGGAATAAATATAAAAACTCCACCCCCCCCACCCTATACCTAAAACTGACTAACTGATTCTGCATACAGCTACCAGGGTAGCCATAGGGATCTCCACCTGAAGAAGCTAAATCTGTGTGTTTAAAAGAAATCCGTGTCTTCGACATCATTAAATGAATGTAAAACACCACTGACAATTTCCTACTCTCTCCATACCATTTACAAGTTATAATTTTTCTAACTACCTTACTATTCTGACTAATTCATATATTTATTTGCTCAATACGTAATCGCTTTGAACACTCAAAACGAAGGAAGCGCAGAAGTAGCACAACACGGAAGATCTGTACAAATAACGATTTAGCGGTAAGGTGTACAAATTCTACACAAACATTCCTTTACCAAGTTTTCTGTCTTCTACCGTCATACTGTGGTGAGAGCTGTCTACTAGCCAAATTGGTAGACAGTAATTTACGTCCATGTTTATGTCTCCAATATTAGTTGTGAGAAAAATATGACCTAAGACTAATTCAACAACCAACCACAGCAGACTTTGCGTAGGTGGATGCAGTTAACATATAGATGATCTGACAATCAAGAAACAATCACAAAGAGATGAAAGATTAACTTTAAGTGAGAAACAACCAATCGGAAAACTGTGTTTACTTGCTTAACTAAACTATAATAATGTACATGAAATATATATAAATATGCTTTGATTTCCTTAATAAACGATCTGTTGCCTGACCCTTGTCTTCTGTTGTTACAATATTTTCTTTTTTCTCACCTTAATGTGCACTTTTATGAAGTGTGACAATTTCGACTAACTGTACATTTTTAAACAAAAAAAATTGAGATGGATAGGACAAAACACGCTAAGGAGACAACTGAATGACATGAAGGCCACAAGCCAGGCCGTCAGATGGGACCCCAATGGGAAACGATGGATTAGGCTTAAGTCCGAAGATGAAAGCTTATCGGTAGTCATGGGGAGGATTGCAGAAAACAGGACACAATGGAGGATGGATGTACTGTTGAAGGATTATGCTCCATTCAGAATAAAAAGTAATAATAATAACAATAATAATAATATACGCTTGCAAGTGCATTAAAATGAACTAACCGTAGGCATACAATTGTAGAACAAACGATCTACATCCTCATGAGTAGCAGGACTAGTTAACAATGTATTTATCATCTCATAATCATCTCCAGATGATGATGTTAGGGTATTCTGTCTGCTTAAATTGATACAGTCTCGATGACAAGCTGCCAATTGTTGTATTAATTTATCACATGAATTAATTATTGCCCGACCAAAATCTGATGTAATCAGAGAATCATTTTCTGGCCAAATTGAACTTAAGCCAAGAATGATTTCAAATAACCATGAACGAATCTAAAGAAGCATTTTTCAAGATAATAATAATAATGAAATAGATTCTTTAATAGGTGTACTAATGTAACAAAATATATACCATTAGAAGAATACAACCACATATATAATTTAATTGAATTTTAGACTTTCCCGTCGACTGATTGGACCGCAGTGTTCGGTCTCAGGTTGATATGTCGGCTTCTTGTGAAGATGCTTCGACGATGTCTGGGCATTTAATTAGAATTTAATTGGTGGGTGGTTACTAGCAGTGGGATCCAGGACAACGCGCATTTCGTCCTGTCAGGGACTCGTCGTCAGCTGGATGTACCTGCATTTCCCAGCGAGTGATGATGTTCCCACCGAGGCTAGGGAGTTCGAGCCCCCCATCGGGAGGCGGCTTTGCTCTCGTGGCCCAAGTGGTTCAGTGGATAACGCTTTGGCGTTTGAAACTATGGGCACTGGGTTCGAGCCTTGGTGGGAACATCCTCACTCACTGGGAAATCCAGGTACATCCGGAAGACGAGTCCGAAATAGGACGAAATGCGCATCTTGGATTCAACATATATAATTGTTAACAGAACATCATCCTGCAAGTTTGTCAAGTAAAGGAAAAACAAAATCCATTCATAGCGCTATTCCATTTCATCTTTTGGACACAGAACACAAGATTGATGTTAACAAGGCGGCTTTGAAAGTCATCTACGGTATACCAAATAATCTTAATTTTACCTCACTCAAGAGTTCGTCGTCTACTAAATATTGCTGAGACTGGGTGTTGGGATCTACATTAAGAAACCTAACTAGTTTATCCAAAAGAAGTTGGTTGGCTCAAACACTGTCCTTATCCCCCGGTCACCAAGATTTGAATGATCCTTACCTTGTTGTGGAAATTTCCTTAATTTTATTTGATATTCTATCTACTATTACATTTTTATGCTTATTATTATTTTTTATGCATCTTCCGTGAACTGTAATTCCATTGTGATCTTACTTAACAAATCGATATTATTTAAAATACACCAATATTGTAAATGAATACTATTCTGGAGTATTCTATGCATATAAACATACACATAAATATAGTGCCAGAAGAGGAAATTATCGAAAGGGATATTCTTTGCTCAAATTTTCTGGTTTTTTCTAGATGTCTGAATGAATACTTTCGCGATATTGAATACCTCATCAGCCAGAACCTATCCTGCAGGTATGCAGGTTACAGTTTCTCGGAAAACATGCTCTTTGGTACAGTCATAGGTTGACAGACACCCATTTCATGTAAACTCTAATTGTGCATACAAATTCACATGTGTCTGTGGGAGCAGTTACGTTGGATACACCTCCGATTTTCTAAACACTTACTAAAAAGCCCACGTTGTCTCAAGGGAACAACCGTTTACAAAAGTTTGAATAAAGAAAGACACGAGTCCGTTGTAGTATTAACCACGACTAGCTCTTTTCCAGCTTCATCCATTCTGTGTCAGCTAACATTGCCTGTCGTCAAGGAAGGCAATGCCTAAGGATGCGTGTATAACAAATGTTCTAACCATCTCAACCTGTGTAACTTCACAATCTTGTCGATTGATTTCCCCTCCTACCTACCTAGCACTCGACCGAAGCCTAACCTCAATACTGCTCACCATCACCTAACACAGGAGATAGAACGTGTCTCACAAAACCTGACTACCGAATGCTTCAAACTTTTTCATCTGTGTATTGAGATATATATATATATATCACTATTATTTATATTATAGATGCATATAATACTCACCTGTGTATTCTGAACTAATAACCATGCTGCATCATGGGAAGCTTGAATGATATCCTTCATGGTTTCATTATCAGCATTTGACTGTTTAGTCGTCTCCAATGTGTACTCTTGGTGTTCTTGATTATTCCGTTGTTGTTGATGGTGGTGTTGTTGTTGTCTCAACAAAGCAATAGCTTCTTCAAGACGTTTTATACAAACTTGAACACATTGTAATAAACTTGCCTTAGCAGGGATAGACATAACAGAGATCAATTCATTTTGACTAAGATATGCTATAATCTGATGTAAAGGACCCTGTTGTTGTATACAATTGATAATTGTATTCTCGTGATCATTGTTTGTGTGACTATCATCACGTGGAGTGTCACCATTAACTTTACAATCAACATTATCCCCATCATGATCATCATCAGTGTTAGAAGCAGCAGCAACAGCAGCGGTAGCGGCGCCGGTGGCAGGGGCAGAGGCAGCGACGGAGGCATCAGTAGTATCCGACGGTGATGAATTCAATGCTTTATCCACTAACTGATTTAAAGGACTGCCATATAATAATCCAGATAATAGGAATAAATGTCCAGCTAGTGATGATGGTGCAACTGATTCTGTACAACGATGAAGACATGGCTCGAGTAAATGCCACCAAAACTAAAAAAATTTTTCGCGGAGGAGAAAAAAAAGAGTAACACAGAATAAAAAGCAAAATTTAATGTGACAGTGGTGTGTTTTCTTTAATCAAAACAGTTTCTAAGAACACTAAATAACTCTAATTTTAATCGATATGTGTACTGTATTCAAAGAATATCAATAGAACCCTTAAAAGTCTGTAAGACAGAGCTAATTAGAAGTGACAACTGGCTGGCTGGCTGGATTCAACATAGAACTTGGCATCGAAGTGCAGCAGTTCGAGTTGCCACGTTCCAAAGAGCACACAAAGGTAGACAAGAAAATGAGTGAAGAGAATCAATAGACTTTTGACAAGTATAAGAGTGAAACAGAATGAGTAATGGTAGAAAGGAATATGAAAGATTACAGAGACTGAATACATCTGCGTAAGCCATTGACAACGATTTTGAGCCATGTCACCTATTGTCTCCAGCCATTGATTCTTAGAGTCCCGAGGGCCCCAACCTGGAAGTCTGCATCTCCCTACCTGACTCAGTTTAACTGTCAAGGATTTCATGGGTTGATGAGGCCATGTTTTTGTTTGGCCACCACTTACTCTTTTCCAACCTGCACCTCTTTACCCAACACTCTACGCCTAACGTCAACATTACTTACTTTATTATACCACCTAACCATCACGTCCCCAGCTCGATCAGGAAACTAAGTCCCTATTTGAGGAAGAACTAGCTAAACACATATCTGAGTTCGACAGCTGCGCTCACCCTGAAGAAGCCTGGAAGAATATTCAGTCAGCCATAGATACAGCTATAAAAGCTGTGAATAAGGTAAATCCAAAGGTGAGTAAAAACCATTGGATTTCGACTGCCTCATCCGAACTGATAGATGCTAGAAGACTTATTCCGGCGAGCTCCGAATTCAATGAGGAGCGAAAGCTGCACAAAAGGAAACTTACGAAAAGTCTCCGCAAGGAAAGTGAACATTGGTGGTTGACAAAGGCGAAAGAGATGGAAAAAGCATCGGTGATAGACAACACTAGGCAACTCTTTAGACTCATCACGGAAACGGGTGGGAGAAGGCAAATCATAAGTGAGACTATTTCTGAGAAAAATGGCTCCTTAATTAGCTCTCAGGATAGACGCCTTGAACGCTGGAAGGAACACTTCGAGGAACAATTTAACTTGCCTACAGCCACACTGTGCCTCCCCGCCATTCAGCACACACCCGAATGGGACATAGACACTGGCCCGCCGTCTGTAAGAAATGACAACTGATAATTAACTGCATAAATCAATAATAACAAAGTGGAAAAATTCTAATTGCTGGTGGTAATACGTAATATAGTCTATGCATGATTTATCCTCTGAGATGTTAGCAATTTTCAAAAGAATGTTTACTGAACAAGGAATACTCTTTCCGATAACCTGTTCTTCATCAGGTTCTACAGGTCTGTCTGTCTCTTTTCAACATAGAACTTTGCACATATGTGCGGCAGTTCAAGTCACCACACTCCATGTAACACACAAAACAAGAGAAGAAAGTAGGAGAAATGCATAATATAGACAGTAAACAAAGGTATAGTAATAACGAAGAACAAAACAGTTTGATTGGAAATCATAAGTCACAAGCAGTGGATGCATCTGCGCCATTGAGAACGATTTTGAGCCATGTCACCAATTCTTTCCAACTATTGGTGTTTACCGTCCCGAGGACCCCAACCAGGAAATCTACACCTTCTTACGTGGCTTAGACTAACTGTTGCAGATTTCATTGACTGGTGCTATGTTTTGGTTTCACCACCGCTAGCTCTTTTCCAGCCTGACTCTATATCAGCTAACATTGCCCGTCGAGGAGGGCGATGACAAGGCATACGTAACACATGTCCTAACCATCTCAGTTGATGTAATTTCACAGTCTCGTCTATTGATTTCCCATCCCACCTACCTAGCACTCGATGTCCAACCTCAGTATTGCTCACTCTACTATACCACTTCACAAGGGAGATAGAATGCAGACACCTATGATCAAAGACAGCTAGCCAGGCTTTTATTGTCTTCCACTCTCAATGGCCAGGTCTTGCTCACAGCCATAAAGGAGGACGGAGCGGACCGCTGAGCAGTACACACGCCCTTTGGTCGATACCCGGATATCACGTCTACGTCGGAGACAGCGTAAACTGGCATATGCCAAACTAGCCCTCTGTATTCGTATTGAGATTTCATCAGAGATCAACCCGTTGGCACTGGCTGATGGTACTTCCCGAATGAGTGGACCGGTCAACGTGCTCTACCACTTCACTTCCTATTTCTAATCTAGAAGTCGGTGTACCCCAATCCTGAAACATCATCTTGCATTTGGCGGGAGCGAATCGCATGCCAAACATTCGTAGATTGCAGCTCAAGGTTCTACAGGTATATACACATTATAGTGAATGAATGAATTAGTGTTATGAACAACATTATTGTTGTTTAAATAACATCGAATCAACAACAATAATAATATCAATGGATTACAGTTCGATGGCATCAACACAACAATACATTGGATATCAGAGAAATTAGGAAAGATAATAATACAATAAAGCTTTTTTGTATTTCCCAATGATTGAAAAACAAAACGATATTGTTGGTTTTACTGACGTTTCGCCATTTAATACTAATAGCTGCTTTATCAAAGTAGTATTATTAAACCAGAATTTACACAATCTCAACCTGCATTATATAACAACTTAGTCATCATCGTTCCTCAGAACAAGGTCATTTTTCGTTGTTAAATTGGCCAATTGGTAAAGATAACAAAACCAGGTGTAGATTATTGGATTTGATAAGCACATGAAAATTATAAAAGCAGAGTGTGTTTACATAATGATGCAATCGCCTATCACATTCGTGTTGATTTTGTCACTTCATGGGTGAGGAAGGTGTTGTAGCCAGGACAAATTCTGTTTTAGTCCATCATTTCTATTCAGACAATTTGGATTCCATTTCATATGAAGTGCTTCTCGTGATATTAGGCGGTCTTTTAGATTTCTGAAATGCTTTTTCTGGATTATTTCAATATTGTAAAGACTATACCCAATGCCCAAATTTTTTCAAACTGTTAAAAGTGAACTTGGTTTGGACATATATGTAAGATAATAATGAAAATTCATGAATTGACAGTGTTCACTGAAGGCTGATCAAGGCAGTAGTGGTGGCTGGACCTATTTCTTCTGCACACAGAGCAGGCGAATTGCGATAGCCTCTGCTGTTTGAAGCATGCGATACCTCAATGTTTGCCTGTTGGCAGTTTATTTGGTACCCGGTAGACAGATGATGATAGAGAAGGATTCTTCAATGCTGGCTGGCTTTGTGACAGGTTTGGACCAGGTGGTCTTACATCGATCGACATGTTGATGGTTTTTACTAAACCTTTATGTGTAGCCACACTGGGAGATGTTCCTGAGAGAGCACGAAAAACCAAGTTGCTAGAGCAACAGCCGATATAACTGGCTCCACCACAAACGCAGTTGAATTGGTAGCAATTCCCTCTTCTGGTTAATTTCAGAAAGCAGTTTTTATTCTATATTTTCATAAGTAGTGCTTCGACTGAAGTCATCAATAACAGCTGAAATTTACACATTCCGAGCCACCGCCTTCCTCGATGAGCAGTGTTACTTACTTGACAAAGGAGTAGGTTAGAAAGGAGCTTGTGGTGGGGGGGAGGGTCAAACCAAATACCAAATAGCATCAATCGATGAAGTTTTTGACAGATGGTTTCAGACAATCACATAAGGAGGTGTGCGCAGGTTGGTTGGCTGAGATCCTCAGGATACTAAAAACCAATGGTTTGAGATTGTTGTTGTTCGCAAAGGCATAAATACATTCACTCTTTGTAACCTCTTAGATCTTCATATTTTTCCCTTCATATCAGTACTCTTCTTCTCGTAGATTTCTGCTCAATGTACTCCCTTTGAATTTCTTTTCTATATCTATGTGGGCCAAGTTAAACTTTAAGCACCAGTAAGTACTAGTGGAGTGCGACCTCATCAATGACCTCGAAGCGCATACTGGACAGGTTTCACAAACCTGCCCAATAATGTTGTAATCATGAATAAAATATGCTTATTGAAGTGTTATGTGTTAGTAAATGGGATGGATATCTGGTAAGTAGTTTCAGATTAGGTTTAGGCTAGCTAAGGACAGGTTAGGGATAGATAGGCTAAACAAATAAGGGCAAAATTAAGCTTGGTTCAAGTTAGATTAGAACCAATTTAGGGATGGATATTTTCACGTTAGGGTTATTGTTAGGGTTAGAAGACTAACTAACTAGATAACTAACTACATGCATAGAATGTGATTATTAAATTACTCTGCTGACAGTCTAATCAAGAAGTGAGAAGCAATTTTGTCACACATCAGAGAAAGGTATCCTGTGTGTGTGTGTGTGTGTGTGTGTGTAACAGTTTCATGCCTTTTAAGTCTGCATTTGTCATGTGGCTGGTGCGTCGTTTATGGTCATTTTCCCGTTGGTGGTACTTACTTACTACTGGTGCTTAAAGTTTAACTTTGCCCCTCCTCTGTGTGCACATGGAGCGTAGTAGCTTGAACTACTTCTGTGTACTTCTGTGCAAAGTTCCATGTTGAAACTCAGTCAGTCAGTCAGTCAGTAAGTCAGTCATTAATAGTCACTACTGATCAGGTTTATCACACAAGCTATATTTCAACATCAAAAGTTAGAAAGGATGTTATACAAAAGGATTGATTTCCAAATGTTTGATTTTGAGTTCAAAGGTACCTAGAAAATTATTTAGTTCAACAAAATCATACTGCTATAGAACAGTCTTGGTTTGGGATTAGCTTGACTAATATATATGGTATCTAAAGTTCTAGGTTGAATAATAATAATGCGTAGACTAAAAGTGGTCCTCGGGAGGCAAAAACACGAGAAAGCCAGGCAGGCTTAAGACCAGAAAGAGGGTGGGTGTATTGATCATATCTTCACCCTTCGACAGATTCTAGAGCATAGGCATACTTTACAGTTTA